AAAACTCATTTTAATAATCTCAGAGAGGTCAAAATGTTGAAACTGAAATTTTGCTGACTCAAACCTTGGTCTGCCTTTGTTGTCTTCATCCGTCAACGCATACTATGTTTAAGACTCTGTAATTACTCTTGTGACACAGAGTTTACAGGCTAGCAGAGAATACAAGTATTAAATAAGCAACCAAATCCAAGCTCATTTGAATCTTATCTAAACAAAAGTAATAATATCTGTTAGGTCTGCAAAATGGTGATGGCAGATGCTGGTTATCATCAAATACTTATCTATTTTATGTGCAGGATTTGCGTAAACATAAGATGATTTTCCTTGTAACAGAAGCAAGTCAAGAAAATGCACAAGTTATGGATGGCAGAAAAAGATAGCTCATTGGTCATCCTCTGAACTGCTTTTACAGAAGGTGAATAGGTCTATGACAGACATCAAACTTGCCCTGCTACAACCAAAGCAGTTGGATAAATTCATGCAACACTCACAGAAAATAAAGTGATTTTCCTGGACTTAGGACTTGGTGGCTGATTTGCCTGGCATGTTAAACAGAAAGTTCTCAAGCAGAACATTGCACAGCAAGCTTGTCAGCTGGGGGTCCCAGTCACATCGAGCACATCTGCCTACTTAGGCCCTTACTTTGCTGTGCTTGACTGATTCTGCTCCTTTCCCTTCTGAGGAGCTTGTGAAACGACTATCCTTGAAGATCTTTCAGAAAAAATAGCAAGCATCTGTCCTAGATGGCTGGGTCATTTACCTGATGGAAGGCAGCAAGCGGGCCCAGTGTATCTCTCGAGATCCACTATGGCTCAATGCCTTTCTCTCTCCAGTTCACTTCACCACAACTAATCCCTTTACATGGCCCCAAATACAGAAGATGGAACCTGGTCCAGGTGAGGCAGTAGCACTCAGAAGATGAAGATCTAACGAACTCAGGTTTGAATTCTAACTTCACCACTTAACGGTGTGACTCCATCTAAATTACTTTCCTTGACTTCATCTTGGTTTTCTCATTTTAAAAAGATATAATAATTTTTCCCCTAAATAAGAAGTGAAATTATGCTTATAAATCGTGTAACCTGGCATGTGGTAAATGCAAAGCACTAAATGGCAATTGCTGCTATTATTATAATCATCATTATTATTAATTGTACCTTCTCAAAGAAAGAGCTACTTTACTTGGATACTCTACTAAATGGCTAAACACCATAAGCATTTTTTCTAGTCTGTTGTAACCAGAATTAAGGACCAGTACCAAACAATGGAGAACTTTACCCTTAATTTTGCAATCAGATATATACTTTTCCAAGTCTCCTCTAATTTAGCTTTTTATTTTCTTAAAAAAAAAAAAATCTACATTATTCTTTGGGTTACCCTCTATTTTCTACCAAAATGAATTCGAGGCCAGGCATGATGGCTCATGCCTGCAATCACAGCACTTTGGGAGGCCAAGGCAGGTGGATCACTTGAGGTCAGGAGTTTCAGACCAGCCTGGCCAACATGGTGAAATTCCATCTACTAAAAATACAAAAAATCACTGGGCATGGTGGCGCAAGCCTGTAATCCTAGCTACTTAGGAGGCTGAGACAGAAGAATCGCTTGAACCCCGGAGGCGGAGGTTGCAGTGAGCTGAGATCATGCCACTGCACTCCAGCCTGGGCAACAGAGCAAGACATTGTCTCTAAAGAAAAAAAGAAATCTGAGTTGCATCCACTTTGGCAACTAGGTCAGGGCTAAGCCTTCTCAGGCATGGCAATTTCCTAATAATGAGGGTGCATAATAATAACTAAACATAATTCCACACTTTACATGTGTCATATCTTCAATTCTTGCAAGTGCCCCATGGATTAGGAATTACTGTTTTACAGATGAGAAAACAGATTCAGAGTAAAGGACCTTCCCAGAGACACACAGGTAATAGAAGAAGTCAAAATTTCAACCTCCACAATCTGGTTCTAGAGACCAGTATCTAATTTACTATGCCTATTTTGAACGGACAGGCAAATTCCTAGGGCTCCCGAGTTCATTTCATTAAGACTAAATGAATGCAGCATCTACATGGTAAAGATCCACCTGATTATGTAGTAGAGGAAATCCTCAAAGGCATAAAGAGAAAATAAAATAAAGGGGAATCCTTAAAACCATCAGGAGAAAAAAAAAAAGGACAGATACAATCAGAACTTTTTTTCTGTTTCTTAGAAGATCGATATGCTCATGTAGGTAGAGATCAAAGTCTTTGAGTGTTATATCTTTAAAAAAGAAAATTTTTCTTGTCATTTCTGACACAAATACAGAAGTTATCCTCTCCTGCAGGCCCTGGGATGATGGCAGGGTTGCAGGGCTGGCTAGGGGGATTGGGTGATTCTAACAAAAGCTATTCAGCTATTGAGCTTAATTGTGTTTCCATTTAAGGGTTGGCATTCTAATGACTATTTTTTTAGAGCCTCTGAGGATAAATGCTTTTCAATTTGACCTTTAGAATAGGAGTCTTTATGGGTTTACAATTTAATTGGAAAAGAATTTAACAAGACAGTATATTTTTCCAAAGATTGTGGAGAATAATTAGCCAAATAATAGTATTAAAAAATTATCGTATCGTAGATCCTTCTTTCATATGTATTTTTAAAAGTTTGCTTTTGAACATCTTAATTCAGTAAGAATGTTGTGAATGGGCAGCTGTGTCATTTGAGAGATCAATTATTTCTATCTCCAAATTCTATTTTATCATGATAGTATCAGTAATACATGTTCCATCAGCTTATATTCCACTGGGTTAAATAATTCCAAATTATATCGCACAGTGAAATGAGTGGGTGTCTGCAAAATGGAAGGCCATAGTACACAGAAGCCAATTCGCATTTCAAAACTCCATTTCCCTTGCGTGCCTCAATTACTTCTCTCTTCCCAAATGCCCACTTGAAATTAATGCTTAGAACTATGCCTGGTACATGGTAAGTACCCAATACACATTAGGTATTTCTGTTATGATGATGACTTGACGGTATATAGTTGTTACTCTTATTATTACATTATATATTATTAATAATACTATAGGCTGAACACAGTAATCCCAGCACTTTGGGAGACTGAGGTGGGCAGATCATTTGAGGTCAGAAGTTTGAAACCAGCCTGGCCAACATGGTGAAACCTCATCTCTACTAAAAATACAAAAAAATTAGACGGGCGTGGTAGCAGGCACCTGTAGTCCAAGCTACTCGGGAGGCTGAGGCAGAAGAATGGTGTGAACCCGGGAGGCGGAGCTTGCAGTGAGCCGAGATCGCGCCACTGCACTCCAGCCTGGGCGACAGAGCCAGATTCCGCCTCAAAAAAAAAAAAAAATTTAGCCAGGTATGGTGGCGGATGCCTGTAATCACAGCTGTTCAGGAGGCAGAGGCAGGAGAATCGCTTGAACCCGGGAGGCGGAGGTTGCAGTGAGGCAAGATCACACCACTGCACTCCAGCCTGGGCAACAGAGCAAGACCCTGCCTCAGAAAAAAAAAAAAAAAACCCACAAAACAATATGGCAGGACTGTATGATAAGTACACTTGTGCATGAGCTAACCTAATGAACCAACCAAGTGTGCTATTGCATCCTCATTTTACAGATGATGAAAAAGACTCAGAGAAGTTAAATAACGTGCCTGTGGTTAAATGGTAAATGGCTGGTAAGTGACCTAGACTAAATCTGAATGCAGGGAATCCAGTTCCAGAAAATGCAATTCAATCATTACAGGATTCTTCTTTCTCTATTATTACCTTGTAAAAAGTTCAGACATTGACGAAATAAACACTACGGCTTTTATAGCAATAATTCCTGTATGTAATGATCACTGTATATCTCCTTGGTTTACTCCTTAAGTGGTAAACTAAATTTTTATGTTTATTTTATGTTTATTTTATTTTATTTATTTTTAATAATGCCTTTTATGTTTATTTTATTTTATTTATTTATTTTTGAGACGGAGTCTTGCTCTGTTGCCCAGGCTGGTGTGCGGTGGCACAATCTCGGCTCACTGCAACCTCCACCTCCTGGGCTCAAGCAATTCTCCTGCCTCAGCCTCCCGAGTAGCTGGGACTACAGGTGCCTGCCACCACGCCTGGCTATTTTTGTATTTTTAATAGAGACAGAGTTTCCCCATATTGGCCAGGCTGGTCTTGAACTCCTGACCTCAGGTGATCTGCCCACCTCGGCCTCCTAAAGTGCTGGGTTTACAGGTATGAGCCACCATGCCTGGCCCAGATGCCTTTTAAAATAATCTTGGCAATAATTTACATAACAAATCAAATAGTTGATTTTTTTTTTTTTTTGAGATGGAGTCTCATGCTGTCACCCAGGCTGGAGTGCAGTGGCACAATCTCAGCTCACTGCAAGCTTCGCCTCCCAGGTTCACGCCATTCTCCTGCCTCAGCCTCCTGAGTAGCTGCGAAGACAGGCACCTGCCATCACGCCCGGCTAATTTTTTGTATTTTTAGTAAAGATAGGTTTCACTGTGTTAGCCAGGATGGTCTCAATCTCCTGACCTTGTGATCCACCCGCCTCTGCCTCCGAAAGTGCTAGGATTACAGTCGTGAACCACCGCACCGGGCCGATTTTCTTAAAATACCTTCAAGTTTTTGTTATTCCTCTTAACTATCAAGATCAAACTGTATGTTCATAGCATGAATCAACTATACCAATTTCTAACCCAGTTTTTGCATGCATGAGTGCCAAGAAACAATAGTTGAAATAAAAAATAGAACCATTTGAATAAATTACTGAGGTTACTTACTGCATTTAAGGTTAATATTTTATTTTTGGCCTCAAGAGTGACAATCAGATTTCACTCTCCTGAACAGCTGCTCTCCCTGACCTGTGATGGTGGTCACTATATAATTCAATTGCACTTCACAGAAATGGATCTAATAATTTTTAAATACAGAAAATCATGACCAAAACATTTTTTTCTTGAAGCTGAGCCACTCTTGGCTCCAGCAGAAACTTTTTAAAAAAAATTTCCAGAAGATAATGACTTTTAAAATGATAGATATGGGTTTTGATAATTACCAATACTTTTCATCATTATTTCAGGTAATCAGGAGGTGGTGGTGAGGGGTGGGAATCACTTTATTGTCTCTCAGTCTAAACTCAAATTGAAATGGGGTAATTCCCTTGATCCCTTCACAGGACTTGTGAAGGGGTAGCTTGCTTACTCAGCCCACAGATCTTAACCCCTGGAGGGAGGGGGAGCATGCAGGTAATCAGGTGCAGAGGCTGGGACAAGCACTTCTGGGCAGCTGGCAGGAGCAGAACTCTGTGCAGAACCGCTGTAGTATCTAGGGGTTGCCTGTGGCCCCTGGAGCCCCAGAAGGTATGTGTTACAGTGTGCTCTTTTAGCTTTGCTGTCTATGGACAGCTTAAGTGTTAACTCAGTGGAGGGTCAGTCTGACAGCCTCTTGCACCCGCACCCAGGTCCTTGTCCAGCATCCAGGAGGAATGAGGTAACACAAACAAACTGGAGTGTGGTGAATGTGGAGGCTTTCATTGCCAATGAAAGTGGCTCCCAGCAGGAAGCGGGGGCTGGAAAGGGGATGGAGGACGAGGGTGGTCTTCCCCTGGAGTGTGGGTGCCAAACTCCTTTCTAACCATCCCCAGCCCACATCCTCTCTGACTGTAGTCTCCGATGTCCAGCTGGTTCTTCACCTCTCAATATTCAGACACCTCTTCTCTCCTCTGCCATGCCTCTCTGCTCTGCCAGTGTGGTCTGGGGTTTTTACGGGTACAGGATGCGGGGGCAGGGTGGGCCAGGGTGGTTCTGGAAAAGGCAACATTTGGGTGGGAAAACAGGAAGACATGTTCTCACTTTGGGCCATGGGTCCAGGCTTGAGGGTGTGGCCCTGACCAGGGACTGCCCTTCTACCCAGTATTTCCCTGCCTCCTGTCCATATCAGAATATCCACTTCAGCAGAGCCACCACATGGGGTGGCAGCACAAATTATGCAATGTAATCCTGCCATTTGAGAGGTTTTCCTGACCACTCCTTGTCGAGTTTCCTTCCAGTTCCCATCGATCATAAAACCAGCTGTATTTTCACCGTAACTTGTTTGCTTTATACATTTGTGATTATTAATTTTATATGTTAATTTGACTGGGCCAAGGAGTGCAAAGCTTAAACATTATTTCTGGATGTGTTGTAAGGGTGTTTCCAGCTGAGATCAGCATTGCAATCAGTGGACTCAGCAAGGTACACTGCCCCCGAACTATGCGGTTGGCATCATTCAATCCACTGAAGGCCTGAGCAGAACAAAAGAAAGAGGAAGAGGAATTCATTCCTTTTGCTTCCTGCCTGCCTACTGAGCTCAGATATTGCTCTTCTCCTGCCCATGGCCTGGAATTTACACTATCAGCACCCCTGGTTCTCAAGCATTCAGACTTGGACTGGAATTATACCACCAGCTTTCCTAGGTTTCTACCTTGCAGGCAGAAGGTCATGGGACTTCACGCTCCATAATCATGTAAGCCAATTCATCATATTAAATCTCTCTCTCTCTCTCTAAATATATAATATATATATGTGTGTGTGTGCACGCATGTACAAATGTATATTTATATACAAATAGAACACATGTATGTGCCCATGTCTTTGACTAGAAGAATGAATAAATAAGACTCTAGGGGGTTATGGTGTCCAGGACCAAGTAAGCCAAGTTTTGAGAGTATATCCAAGCAGGAACTACTCAAGTGTAATCACCCAGGAACTCAAAAAGAAAGAACTCATTGGTTTAAAATCTTATCTATACTCATGCCAGCACTTACGTCTGTAGGAGAAAGGGAACTAGTGCTTATTGAATACCTTCTATGAGCCATAGTATTAAATTCTTAAAACCATCTGGTCAGGTGAGTCATATTATCTCTTCTATCAGAGGGGGAAATGAAGTTCAGAGAGATTAAATACTTGCTCAAAGTGAGATGGCTGTCAGGTGGCAAGTACAGCTGGGATTTTAATCCAGCAATGTCGGCTACCAAAATTCTGCTTTTTCTAGGTCACTGTAGTGCTCCCACGTTATTTCTCCCTGCCTAATTGCTTTTTCTCAGTGAAAATATTGCTGGGTTTTGCCTGGGTTCAGATCCTATTTCTCATGGCATCATCTCAATTTTGACATATTGTACCAATATGATTCAGCCCCAAAAGAGTTATTTTAATTAAGTCACATATATTAATGGTATAGCACACCTAGAAGGGATCTTAAAAATGATCAAGTTATTCAACCTCGTTTATTTTGCAGATAAAGAGAATGAAGAGCAGGATGGTTACATGCCCTGCCCTTCTTTATGCATAAAGATCAACGAAGACAGCAGGAGTTGAACTTCTTTCCTTCCTTGGGGGGTTAAATGGATTGCTTAAGTTATAACCCATCCTTGCAGTCTGGGTCAATTTACTAGTACATATTTGATAAATGTTACCTGTAAAATGACTCCTAGAATCCAGCATGGAAGATTCCTTAGTGGTCACAAAATCATAAATGCACCAGAATGAGAACCAAAACATTTAGACGTCAGCTTAAAGCCATTTTGCTAAGGGCAAGCTGAGCCTGAAATGCAAACCACTTAACTTTCAGCTTGATGTTCTTTCAGTGCTGAAAAGAACTGCAGTCATCACATGATTTTTCTTTCCTTAGTTTGGTTTTATAAGCATCAGAGTACGGTCTAAGTGTGAATATTATTTCTACCACTTCTTAGTTGTATGACTTCAGTCAAAGACCTTAACTTCTCTAAAACCCAGTTTCCTCATCTGAAAAAAGGGTCTAATTATATTTTCCCTGTATTGTGTTTTGAAGATCAAATGTATGTGGAAGTGTGCAATGAACAAAGTTTAGTTTATCAGCCCAAAATGTGTTGTGCTTGCCTAGCATAATGATTAAATTGTTTTCAAAACAGTATAGGTGGTAAGGGAGAGCACATGAGCTCCAGTCTGCCATAATATCCACCTGTCTCTTTTGGCCTTGTATCCATTCCCTGTTCACGCATTCATGTTACATACCCAGTCCCCACACACGTTTGAGTTTCTCTTTCCTGAAAGAATAATAAAAAATGGTGGTTGTTACTATCCCAATTTTCTAAATGTCTATACGTAGAAATTTCAGCAGGAAATATAGTAAAGATAACCAATCTGTACAAACTAACATTTGAAATCCTAATAGAATAGTCTAGTCCCTGACAAACATACACCCAGAAGACCAGAAAGGTTTATGGTTAATAAAAGAGTATATTGACCTTTCCTAGGGAATTATGCATGGCACCTTTATTACAAATACTGTAAATTGAAAACGAAGCAAGAAAATTATAGGGTTCAACTAAGTAAAGAAGGGATTCATCATGAACATTCATTAAATGTCAACCTGGTGGATTAGGAACAGCAGCAATTAGACTGCAGTGATCAAATGATATTTCAAAATGCCAAAAATGGATTCGTCTTTAAGTTACAACTCTTCTACAGTCTTGAGTTCAAATGCCGTTTTATAACATAAGAGACATGAAATTTGTTTGAGATTTTTCTAAGCATTGCAAACATTTCAGCACTAAAATACTGTTAGTTTCAATTACTCTAGAGAAAAGTTCAGAAGTTAAAAAGTTTAAAAGCCTGGATCCTGCTGAGAAAAAGCCTGAATCCTGCTGAGAAAAACCACAATTAGTTTCTAACTACTTCCTTTGGTTCCTACTATAACCCCTTATTCCTTCTGATCCCTTGATCCCAGTGATAATCCAGTGAACTGCCTCTGGAGGTAAAGGAGAGACACCCTGTGAAAACAATAGGTATAGTGTGGAGAGGGACAGGAAGTCCTAATAATAGCATTCAGACTGCAGCTAACAGCTGTGACCTTCTGCAAGATGAATTATCTCCAAGGCCCCAGTTTGCCTCACCTTTATTTTTATTTATTTTTTCGAAACAGAATCTTGCTTTGTCACCCAGGCTGGAGTGCAGTGACATGGTATGGCTCAATGCAGCCTCGATCTCCTGGGCTCAAGTGATCCTCCCACCTCAGCTTCCTGAGTAGCTAGGACTACAGACACGTACCACCACTATGTCCTGCTAATTAAAAAAAAAAAAAAAAAATTAGTAGAGAGGAAATCTCACTATGTTGCCCAGGCTGGTCCTGAACTCCTGGCCTCAAGTGATCCTCCCACGTCTGCCTCCCAAAGTGCTGTGATTACAGGCATAAGCCACCACACTGGCACTCCTCACCTTTAAAGTTAAGGAACTGGATCAGTATTCTCTAGGATCCCTGACATAGCTAAGTAAATATATGGATCAGGCCAGGACACCCAAGAGAAACACAAAACTGATTCCAGGTCACTCATTGCTCCTAAGATGATGATCCCTTTGAAAGCACTTCATAAACATGAAGTTGCTTCTCCTCACCACAGGGCTTCAGGATACATGCCTTCTTTTTCTTTTGTTATGCATTAAAGAGCAGAGAAATAAAGAAAAGCAGTAGCTTATCCCAAAAGCCCCAGGGAATGGGCACTAAAAAGATTTTCAAAGTGAGGTGTTACTAGTTTTCAATCCCCAAACTGAATCATGACTCCTGGTCTCCTGTTCGCCCAGTGGTATATCATAACTTCTTAGAGAAACAGCCAGAATGTTCTGGGACTTATGCTAATTCTTTGTTAATAAGGAAGGCAGGACCATTTAGAAACTGTCGATTCCTTCCCATTAAAGCGGGCGCGCGCACACACACACACACAAAGAAGGTAGGAATCAGTTATGGGTATATATTATATTTTCAAGTCTTCAAGACCACTAGGAAGCTGTTGCATCATGGAAGGCAGACTGAAAGGGTTCATACAGCATCCAGAGGTAACTTGCTATAAACCACCAATAAAATTCTAAGCCCCTCGCTACCATTTAATAGACTTCCTCCTCAACCAGGGCTCTTAAGATGTAACCTGAAAGACTGATTCAGGCCACAAAGGGAAGAGGGGTCAGACATGCCTCATTATACCTCTCTGCCATTAACATCAACACAGACTTAAGTCTGATAAGAAACACTTTACAGCCTGTTCTCTCTGAAGCCTGCTAGCTAAAAGCTTCATCTGCATAATAAAACTGGTCTCCACCACCTCTTATGGCAACCTAGACATTCCTTTATATTGTTTAAATTTACCCAAAGCCTGGAAGCACCCCCCACCTTTGAGCTGTCCCACCTTTCTGGACCAATACAAAGTATTTCTTAAATGTGCTTGATTGATGTCTCATGCCTCCCTAAAATGTATAAAAAAGCAAGCTGCACCCCGACCACTTGGGCACATGTTCTCAGGACCTCCTGAGGGCTGTGTCAGGGGCTATGGTCACCCATATTTGGCTCATAATCTTCGAATAGTTCAATTAATATATTAACATTCAAATAATACCTCTTCAAACAAAGAGTTTGACCCTTTTCATTGACATTGCCCACTCACACATGTATCCTTAGCATACAGCTTAGATCTCATTCACAGCACAGTACTATGCTTGCTCTTTTTCCCATTTTTTAAAAACTTTGCAAAGCATTTCACATTTGATTTGTTAATGATGATAAACCTGCAAGATGGCCAACTGTTTTCTCCATAGTTTCAAAAGGAGGAATGAAGAATACAGAAGAATAAAGACTATAAATGGTATTTATTGAATTCAGTGAGTTTGAGCTTTCTGGAATTAAGATGAAAAGCACCTTTATTCCTCGTTTAGGTGGATATACTGTTTCAACTGGTCTTATGGCATGTTTGTTGGTTTCTTTCCTTTTCATTTGAACCTCACTGCTCCGTGTACATTTCTTTTTATTTTTCTCATTTCTACTCCTTTGAGATTTTGGCAGGACCATAATTGATTTGCCTCCTGCTTTCCTAGAGTTCCCAGAACAGTCTCATGTGCTCAAGTGGTATTTAAGTGTAGATCAAAATATTCTATTTAACTTGGGTTTGGAATTGTGAGAGATAATTACAATCAGCAAAGAATTCACAATATCTAAAATGTATAATGCAGGAATGCTAAAGATTATTTAATTCTCTATGACAAACAGCATCACAACTTTACCTCTCAGGAAATGAAAATGTATTACTATAGATATGAAAGTGGCATTTTTTCACCTATACGGGCTTAGAATCTTAAGGGCATGAGTATGTACTGGGGAGTAGCAAGGACCACAAACTCTCTTGCCCTTAAGGGTCAGAAACCAATGTTAGATGAGTGAAGTAGGCTGGTGTGATTTCATATGACATGTAAAATAGAAGTGGTAGAAGAACAAATCCATATAGAGGAACTCAATGGCAGACATGGTTGCCAGAAATTCCATGTCTTTAAGAGAAGCTTAAAATGCAGATTGTTTTCTGGAGAAACGACTTAAAAAATATAGTGTTTTATTCTTATGTGGAAGCCAAATAGAAAACGTATAAAAGAGAACATGCCTCTATATTGAGAGTTGGAAGATCCAAAGCCTTTTAGAGATTTTAAACATGTTTTTAGGGGAACAGGGCTGAGAGGGCAGGGAATCCATTTCACAGAGGCCAACAGGCACACATGATCTCCTACACTGTAAAGGTCCATGCAGTCAAGCACTAAATGTCTGATACCAGAAAAGGCATTAGTAAGAAAAACTGTGGTGCTTACTACAGCTAAATTAGAAATACTTTGTATCATTCTGCTTCAACATTTGGCCCTCACAATGTAGATTTGCAGGACAACTAGTTTTATCTTATTCTTATATGTAACATCTGTTGGATCGGAGTACACATCAGATATATACACTAACATTTTCTCTTCCATCACATGCTGCCTGTTACAGCTGTGGGATTAAGACCTCCCCACTACTTTTATACTTTTATCAGGGAGTACTTAAAGTGATAATGGTCAGTTAGTTCTTCAAATAAATGAATAAATTAAAAATATTCTCATGTCACTATCTGATGTTGGTATGAATTCTTGAGAGTTAATAGTGTACTAATTTGAAATAATGTGTTGCTAATCTACTCTATTAGCCAGTTATCTTTATGAAGACTTTTAAGGATATCGTAAGAATTTCCACTCTCATTTTAGGACTTAACAATCACACGAATCACCACCACCACTTATTGTGTGGCTTCTAGATACTTCAAAAATACATGCTCCTGTTTATTGCCCATGTGACGTCACAAGGTATGTATTAATATCTTCATTTTAATATTCAGAAGGGAGCACTAAAGTTTTGAGGAAATTAAATGACTTACACAAAGTTCATCAACCTAGTAAGTGATAGGGCTACCATTTAATCTCTGATTAGTCTCACTCCAAAGTTTCCACTCTTCAACCTCTGTTTCCGTCCAACATAATGACTAAAAAAATAATAAAATTGATTTCTAAGTAGTAACCAACTGTAGCTCATGCCTATAATCCCAGCACTTTGGAAGGCCAAAGCAGGAAGATTGATTGAGCTCAGGAATTCAAGACCAGACTGGGCAACATGGTGAAACCCCACCTCTACAAAAAAAAAAAAAATCAGCTAGGCATCATGGTGTGCACCTGAGTCAAGATTGCACCTCTACACTCAAGCCTGGGCGACAGAGTGACCCTGTCACAAACAAACAAACACACAAACGAACAAACAAAAAACCCCAAACAACAACACAACCTGAAAAGGAAGCCATTAAATGTTGGTCTAAGATTCAAGCCATTTCAACATGGTGATCTTAATAAAATCATTGCTCTAACTACCCTCCCCCCACCAGATAAAAATCATACAAACATGGCTTGCTTCCTGAAAATGCTTTCATTGTCAGCTATGTATAAAACAATTACTTTGCTGATCTTTTAATCATCTGAAGGAAATAAATGCCACTATGGGGCATTAAGAGGCTAACATAGTAGAGTCTGGGCTGCAATTATAATTTGTTTCTTAGCAACTAATAGCAAAAGTTATAAAGTTGGTTCTAAAACATCTATAAGAGGCAGCATTACAGCCCCGGGAATATTGTGACAGTCCTTAACAGTATAATCTTGTGAGTAATTTGCTTTTGATATTATCATAAGATAAATCATTTTGGATCTGCTTGGTCAAAGCCCTAAAGAATTCTCATTAAAAGTCAGCTATTATTATGTGTGTTGTTTTCTTCCCCTCTCTCCTCCATTATACTGAACCCGCTGAATTGGTTATTTCATGCATTATAATAAGTTGGATGGAATCAGTATGATAAAAACAGATTCCTTTAATAACTAGGAGAAAGGAGTTCATCACTATAATAGTTCCATTTCCTGTCTGAAACAGCACTTACTGAATGTAGTCATGGTTAGAGTAAATTAAAATTTTTATAATGAATATGAGTGAGAACAATAGGAATTTTTAAGAGTTCTATATGCTGTAAACAGAGAAAAATAGTAGTGAAATTTGAGTGGCTCTGGGTCTAACAGCTTAGGTGATTTTCTGGTGAGAACTTGCTTTCAAAAATTCATGAGTGGCTCATATTTTGAGAACATAATTTAATTTTTTGGCCTACAGGAATACTATTCTGTAATTTACCTCAAAATCTTTAAAATAATTGTATCATGCTTTTCTCTTATACATACATGGATAACATGACATACTTCTGGGACAGTTATTTCTTAAAATCTAGGACAGGTACTGTCTACTGAGAAACAAAATTATTGGATTATAATACAAAGACATATTAATAGGTTAAGTCAATGAAAGAGAAATATACCTTTTAAAAACTTTCATAGAGAAAAGCATACAATTATTTGGTTATGCATGTTTGGAAATATGCTGGTGATATTAGAAAGAATTTGTGTCTTGGGTAAAAGGACACACATTAGAACTGGCCAGTTGAGGGTGTCTTGCATGAGACACCTCCCAAATAAACCAAGAATTCATGACTCCATCTTTCCTGTTACATGCTGTGTGGCAAACAGCAAAGCCTACTCTCCTGGCTACTTTTAAGGTGACTCAGTTTATAGTAACTGGAGGATCTGGTGCCTTGATTGGTCTTTTGTCCTTTGCTGCTACTAGAGAGGGTAGGGTCACTTGACCTGATGTTGAAGGGGTAATCCGTGCCAGGTACATTAGCTAAGGCAAATCTTTATTCGGTCGAAAACTTAAGAGCAAATATATTCCCTGATAGAACCTACAAACACACTCTTAGAAATATTAGTTGGAGAGCCTTAGACGGGTAAGCATTAACTTTCGTTGTTTTCAATCTTTCTTTACTAAATTTAATGGGGGAAAGCATAATTAAACTGAGATAGATATGGAATATTGAGTAGTCTTATAGTTTCCTCATGTTAGGGGTATTAACCATGGGTTATACTAATTTCTGTTTAAATATCAGAAAAATGTCATTTTCCTGAAAGCACAAAGGATCCTTAAATTCAAAGATGTCAGCTGGGTGTGTTGGTGGGCCCCTGTAATCCTTGCTGCTTGGGAGGCTAAGGCAGGAGAATTGCCTGAACCTGGGAGGCAGAGGTTGCAGTGAACTGAGATCGAGCCACTGCACTACAGCCTGGGCAACAGAATGAGACTGTCTTAAAAAAAAAAAATGTATGCTGTCTCTCCTGGAATAGAAATTAGGGATTTTCAATATATCTTATACGCATACCCACCCCCACACACAGTCTCTGCATCTTTTACCTAAGACATATAAGATGTTTGAATGAAGTGGGTATGTCTGTTTCCATTTAGAACACATTTGTAACTGAGGACTTTTTACTCTATGGGCTCATCAAAAACTTATTACACAAAATTTAATGCAGTTAAATTTAATCGAGAGAAACCTATAGGTCAATCAACAAATATTTATTGATCATTGACTTAATAACAAGCTCTGTGCTGTGTTCCAGGGAACCAAAGAGGAGGAAGACACAGAACCTTCCCTCAAGTTTACAGTTTACCAATTCTACCAAGAATGTCACACAAATTCACGTGTAAAAGAAAATGGATAGTCTGTCTATTAGGCCCTGAGGAATGTTGACTTTGGAGATCAAGTCACAGAGCTTGACCTTTTAATTACTTATTTTCTATTATAGATTAACTTCCTACCTTATTTCCTTATTCCTGGCTCAGAGAAGATGGCCCTGAGATAGAAGACCCCCTGACTGAGACAACAGACCCTTTGACTATTACATCCTGAATGTGGAATATTAAATATACATGATTATTCTATCCAAAAAGAAAAAAAAAGAAACACTACTTACAACTAACCAAATTGCTGTTAACTATTCACCAACCCTGTATGGAAAATGATGTAATCCTTTTCATCTTCCCTAGACCTTGCCAATATAAGAGGGGCCCTCAAATCTCCCCACTTTGGAGCCATGACTCCACTCTTTTGGAGTCTGTGTCCTCCTGAGTGGCCATCCTCAAACTTTGTGTTCAAATAAGTTCAATATTTAATTATTTCACCTGAATCTGGTTATTAGGGTTGACACATGCAATAAATATGCTATGACATAAGTATGTATAAAATGCAAAGCACAAAGGCAGAAGGGGTCAGTTCAGCCTGAAGAGCAATACTTCAATCAACAAATATATGTTAACTGCATATATGGGTCAGGTCCAACGCTAGGTGTTGGTATTATAGCAGTGAATATATTATAAAAGGTTCCTGCCCTCATGGAGCTCATATTGTAGTGAAGGAGACAGACAATAGCTTAGTGAAAAAGATAAAAATAGATAATCAAAGAGTGATAATAATTGCTCTGTTGCAAATTTTTAAAATGTTATATTATAGAAATTAAATGGGCTGGGTGCGGTGGCTCACATCTATAATCTCAGCATTTTGGGAGGCTAAGGCAGGCAGATCACTTGAGACCAGGAATTCAAGACCAGCCTGGCCAAAATGGTAAAAACCCTCTATGTACAGAGGAGTTTTGTATGGGGAAGAGGGCCATGGTGGGAGAACACGGGAGCAGAAGAGATGAGGCTTGAAAACAGATTAATAAGAATGAACTGGCTGGAAATAAAAACACTAAGCAGTATTTGAATTCTCAAATAAGCCAATGCAATTCCCTAAAGGAGTCCATGTGAACGTTTAATTGTTACAGTCACTGTACAAAGCATATGGATCAGATCATACAAGAGTAATGCTTTTAAGATGCAAAGGCAAACCATCACTTACGTCTGCTGGAAAATCATTACTGTCCCACAGAGCGTGATGAATAAAGAGAACCAGCAGGCTGCTGGGTGAATGTTATAAGCACAACTAACCTTTTGCGAAGCTGAGATCACTGTCCATGCTTCCAAAGAAGAGGACTGTTCAGGCTATGGTTGAAAGGGAATTGATATAAGAATCCTGGAAATCTTGCAAGTACAACAGGCTATTTTGTAAACTGCCTCAATGTGCATCTGCTTCATGTTCTTGATGGTTAATACAAATAAGAAAACAGTATTAAATAAACATCTTGAAACCAAATGATGTTGTCTCATGGGATACAGTTATACATTGGTTCCAAAACTGCTGTAAGAGTCATTCTCCTGCAGTCTTTCCAAATGAAAACAAAGAGACACTCTCTAGCCTGAAGGAGTGTTATTCTATTTGCTGTCCCACCTGACTAGGTCTAGTATGCAGTGTTAAAGTTCAGTTCTTCTTGAAAGTGTTCCAAAACTCAAAATACATAAACTATCAATTGTTTTCTAAAGTTCACAGGAGTTAAGTGAAGAGTAATCATTATTTTTCAGTCAATTATTTGTAAAGCAAATGGGTCCCTCCTTCATTTTGATGCACACAAGGAAAGAAATGAAGTGTTTGGTTACTTTTAAAGTAGAGGAGATAAGTGAGATACCATAACATAAAAGTGATGTGGAAGAGAGAAGGAACAATGGCTATAGGAAAGGTAGGTTGATCAGAAGCAAAAAGCTTGGCAGATGAAATGGAGATTGGGGTGGGGGGAGTGCAGCTGACATATCTTTTCTTTTTTTTTGTTTTTGTTTTGAGATGGAGTCTTACTCTATCACCCAGACTGGAGTGCAGTGGTGCAATCTTGATTCACTGCAAACTCCACCTCCCAGGTTCAAGCTATCCTTTTGCCTCAGCCTCCCTGGTAGCTGGGACTACAGGCGTGAGCCACTGTATTTGGCCTAATCTAACTTTTCTGGACTAATATTTGTCTTAGTCAAAAGTCTACTACATTGAGGCTGGGCACAGTGGCTCATGCCTGTAATCCCAGCACTTTGGGAGGTTGAGGCAAGTAGATCACCTTAGGTCCAAAGTGCAAGACCAGCCTGGCTAACAGGGTGAAACCCCATCTCTACTAAAAGTATAAAACTAATCTGGGTATGGTGGCAGGTGCCTATAATTCCAGTTACTTTGGAGACTGAGGCAGGTGAATTGCTTGAACCTGGGAGGCGGAGGTTACAGTGAGCCAGATCATGCCACTGTACTTCAGCCTGGGCGACAGAGGGAGACTCTGTCTCAAAAAAGAAAAACAAAAACAAAAACAAAAAGTCTACTATATTGAGATGAAGGCTTCATTATTACTCAATACCAGAGTTTGGTAACCCCCTAAGCCTGTAATCCCTACAGGGTGTTTAGAAAATACAACATACTTGTCATCCGTAGACAAGGAAATCTGTCTACAGTAAGGAATTTCGGCCTTACTGAAGAAATTCAGGAGCAGGAACCCAAACCAAACACCCAGTCTCATCTTCATCTAGAATCATACATGCATTACCTTTCTGAGGTCTTCCTCTAGTTGCCAAGTGTTCTCTATGCTGCAATCAGTGTGTCATGGAAAGAACCCCGTAAGAATGTTGGATTCCATTCCCTACCTGCTACTTATCAGAGCAAAATGTAAAACAAAACTTAAATAAGTTACTATATCATTGAATAAAACTTGTACAAACTTTACACCTAACAAGTCAGTACTACTACCTACTTATTAATAAACCTGTATCTTTAAACTTTCTCTTTCAGTCTATTAAAATATACAAAAATTTTGTCAACTTGAAAAAATATATAAAGCAACACTTCTTTGACTCTACACTCCCTTCAGCTAAGCACTTTTTCTCTTTCCTTCTTCAGGTATACCCTTGCTTTTTCTACTTATTGACTTCCCATTTACTCTGCAACCCCACCACCAAAAGATTAACTAAAGCTCATTACTTTACAACCCCACTGTCTGGATACTGGCCTCAAATCTCCGACGAAACTGCTCTGGCAAAAGTCAATTCCATGTTGCCAGATCCAGTGGGCATTTTTCAATCCTTATCTTATCTGATTTCTCTGTTGTATTGGACATTTTCAACTGCTTCCTGAAAATGTCTGTTCTCTATCCTCTCCTGATTCCTATCTCTTCTTCTCCTCCCTCTTAGTCTAAAAAGACTAAGGCTTTTTAGCCTGAGGGCTCTTTAAACTTCACCTACCCTTCAAGCACTAGTTTCCACCAAGGTGCCCTTGGTTTGCTGCTTTTCTTTCCTTTTTGGATGATCTTACACACTCTCATAATTTTAAATCTAATCTTTATGTTCATGTCTATTTACTGTAAACCTTCAGCCCTACTGATGTAGTATTTCTCATATATTCAACTGCCTGATTAACATACCCACTTGAGTATCCTACAGATAAGGTGACTTTACATCCTAGTTTTCTTGAAATAATTGAGGTTTACATTTATTGTCCTGGCAAAATTATTGATAGTGGCACCTTTGACACTCATAAGAATCCAGGTTGTGTGATGTATCACACAACTTGGTATGTCTTCAAGTAAATTTGCCACCTCTTAGTCTCCAACCCTAACCTGATTCCAAAGTTAGTCAATGATACCCCACCATCCAAGATATTAGACTTTAAAGTCATCCTATAATCTTTTCTTTTCTTTCTTTCTGTACTCTTTACTCTCAGTCTCTGTCCCTACCTTCACCCAAACCATCCAACAAACCTTGATGATTTCACCACAAAAAATATTTTTCAAATATGTCTCCTCTACTTTCACTGCTTTTGTCTTAGGATAGACTCTCATTATTTCCCACCTGCAATATTGGAAAGCCTTCCTGTTTTCCAGATTCTGGTATCCTAGCGCCTTAAATGCCCATTCCAAAATGAAGCCACAGTAATCAATTTCTAAAATGCAAACCTGTTTATACCACTCTGCTGGCTTAAGACCCTTTGAAATTGTCAGCCACCAAAAGATTAACTAAAGCTCATTAGCATGTCAAACAAGGTCCTCCATGATCTCCCCCCTTAGCTCTCTCTCTCCCCTTGTAGCCGCCCACTCTCCACTTCATATTTGACAACCTTGAAACATGGAATGTTTCCATGTCCCCTGCATATCCATGAAGAGTCAGGCTTTGCTGTTCTTGTCGCATGAAACACCCTGCCAGCTCTCTTGGCCTCTTTAACTATCAACCATCTGTCAAGACTCTGCTCAGTGATTGTCTCTCTTGGGGAGCCTACTGTGTACCCCAGGACGGATTACATATTGCTTCTCCATGTTTTCATTACATACTGTGCACACTGCTGTCTTTTCATTTACCACATAATATCCTGGAATTAATACTGTATGTCTTTCTCTTCCACTAAAGTACAAGATCCTCCTTATTTATTTTTACTCCTTTCAGATTTTTTCTTTAGATCTTTTTCTATTATCTTATTTTAATAAAGGATGCCTTGTTTTATATAAGACATTTATATAATTGGAAGAAAATATGTCAACATACTTTGTCTCAATTGGTCCTTAAAATGGCCATTTATACATCATCCCCATTATACAGAGAATGAAACTGAGACTCAGAGAGGTAGAATGACTTGCCAGAGGTCACATATTGGAGTGACAAGTGTGAGAGAGAAGAGGCAGCCATGTAAATATCGTGGGTAATTCTGCCCATCATGTGGCTTGATCAATTTCCAACACTGCATTAGAGATCGTGGACCCGGATCTCCTTTATTTTTCAGTTTCAATTTTCACTGGC